CCCGGTCGGTCATGGCCCGAAGCTTGATTGTCCTAGAGTGGACATCGGCATATCTATAGAGGAATGGAATGTGTTCACACGCCGCTTGGAGGTTTTCCGTGCTGGTTCGGGCATAAGTGACGCCCAGGCCCCTTTCCAGTTATTCCAGTGTGGCTGAACTGGGTGCAGCGTGAAGCTAACCATGCGCTGTTCGCTGACCAGCGCCATGCGATCGCTCGCATCCTGTGCCACAGGTTCGCACGAGGCTCATTCCGGCGCGATGGACATTCGGCATTCCAGCGAGAGTGCGGGGTAAAGCCGAGACGTGCGTACACTGCAGCGTGTGTGTGTGGGTTGGATGTGGATTATACTGATCACATAATCCGCCATGTTCTGATTAACGGGATTTATGACTCTGATATACGCTGTGAGACGCTGGGTTTACCTGATGTCCTGTGTAAGCCTGTTAATGATGTAATTGCGTTGGTTGAGAATAAAGAGATGGCCCGTAACTCTCTACCGTCGTCCACTCTGTCCGCAATGTCATCTTTACAGCGCTCAAGGAAGGTCACTCAGGCGAGCGCTGCTCCGTTTCTAGCCCAGCCTGACAGAGCTAAACAGGCATTGTGCCCGGACTGTAAAATCACTTTTAACGTCTTCACCGAGGGGTCTCGTGGGTGGAACACTAAACCTCACCGAGTGTGCGTTGATTGTTACAGGGCCCACCGTCGCAAGCGCCGCCAGGAACCATCTGCTGGTGGTCGACAAGCTGCTTTACAATCAGGGCTGATATCCCAGATCTCTTCCGTACAATCAGGGGCCCGCCCTGTCCGACGCCTCAGGTACCGCCGCCGGCGCCGTTCTCCTGCGGTGATCAATGAGCCCCAGGCCGTAAAACTTGAGCACCATATTTTCACTAAGGGCGGGTGGAGACGTGCTAAGATGAGGGACCACCCCAGGGTGCACATCACCATCTCGATCGACAGAGTGGGGGACACGAGGAATGGCGTCGTGGACAATGGCTCGGATGGTCCAGCGACGATATCAGCCATTGCAGACACTGGTGCCCAGTCTGACCTGTGGTCTATGCATGAGTTTCTGGCCTGTGGCTTCTCATGTGATGACCTACGTCCCGTCAATCTGAGCCTGTCAGCTGCCAATCGCTCTCCCATAACTGTGGAGGGTGCGTTCTTTGCAAGGCTCTCTACGTCACCCAGAAGCCGGCATGTGAGTCCTTTTACGCACAAGATGGTGTTCTGTTGTATTATGATCGCGTCGTGGTCCCCCCATCCCTTCGCGATAATGTGCTTCGACACCTCCATGCCGCCCACCAAGGTACTTCAGCGATGGAGCAGCGTGCACGCGCCATAGTCTATTGGCCGGGCATGACGAAGGATATTCGGGCCACCAGGAATGGGTTTGCGGACTGTAATCGGAATGCCCCTTCGCAAGCTGCCACACCACCCCTGTGGTCCCCTCCTCCGTCCACACCTTTTGAGGCGGTTTTCGCTGATTTTTTTGATTATGGTGGCCGACACTACCTGGTGGTTGGGGACCGTCTCTCGGGCTGGGTGGAGGTCCTGAGCTCCACAGCAGGATCCGATCTGGGGGGCTCAAGGGGCCTGGTCCGCCACCTCCGCGAATTTTTTGCAACCTTTGGTGTGCCAGAGGAACTCTCGAGCGATGGTGGCCCGGAGTTTATGGCGAGCCACACCGAGAACTTCCTCCGCTTGTGGCATGTGAGGCATCGTGTGTCCTCCGTCGCATTCCCCCAGTCCAATGGAAGAGCGGAGGTGGCGGTAAAGACGGCCAAGCGCCTCCTGGCATCTAACACTGGCCCGACTGGCAGCCTTGACCACGACCGCTTTCTACGTGCCATGTTGCAGCTGCGCAACACTCCGGACTCGGACTGCGATATCTCACCGGCACAGATCATCTTCGGCCGCCCCCTTCGAGATTCGCTCTTGTTCGTGAACAGACTGGAGAAGTACTCTAACCCAAATATCCGGCCACTCTGGCGCCAGGCGTGGGTGGCGAGGGAGGATGCCCTCCGTGCTAGGATGTCCCGAACTACTGAGTCCCTCAGGGCCCACTCAAGGCCGCTCCGCCCACTAGCGCTTGGTGAGACAGTTTTCCTCCAGAATCAGCAGGGTTCGAGCCCCAACAAGTGGGACAAGTCTGGTGTTGTCGTGGAGTCGTTGGGGTGCGATCAGTATCGCGTCAAGGTCGATGGGTCTGGTCGCCTGACTCTGCGCAACCGACGGTTCCTTCGCGCCTTCACCCCGGCTACCCCTTGCTCCCTGTTGGAGACTGCTGTGCACTCGCCGCCACCCGTGGTTTTGGATCAGTGGCCCCGCCCGATCCTCCCAGACCCTGCGGTCTCACAGGCGGTCGCTCCAGAGGTGGCTGGACCTTGTGTCTCTGTTCCGGATGCTTCGCCAGTGGGTGATGGCCCCGATCCTGCGGTTGTTGCCCCCGCTATGTTGCCCCCCATGTCGCCGTCCCACGTGTTGCTGCCCTCGCCTCCAGGCCGCCCCCGTAGGCCTCCCAAGCGTTATGAGCCTGAGTCAGGCCGTTGGATACAAGATTGAGTCAGTTTATCTATTATATTTTAATAGCTTTACGGACTGGGGGGGATGAAGAGTTTACCACTAGAGGCCGCTAGCGGTTTGGTTTAGATCAGCGAGTGAGTCGAGTGTCCGCAGGATTGAAAGTTTTACCCTCCTTATGCTAACCCTAGTGAGCTGTTCTTGTTGTATGTAAGTTATATTTTCTACATTTATATTTGTTTCAAGCCACTGCATTCTGTACATGTATTTATAAGCGATAGTGTTAGCTTATGTTACTATGTTTGTTTATTGCAGGGCTTCCTCATCTCTGTCATTAAAATATAAATTGACATAGAGGAGTCTCTTTCTTCACAGCCAATCTCCCCTGCTAACAATAAATACACACTGTTCAATGTCTTAACACAGTAGTAGCTTTTCAGAAGACTGGTAGATTTTATTAGCATTCAGATTTTATTGTACGATCCTTTTCTTAAACTGCTGCTTACAACTTAGTTAGATTTGTTTATTATTTCCATTATCAACCCGACAGACCATTTATAATCTATTAGCTACCGTGAGACACATGCGCAGGTTTGCCTTACATCATAAAGAGCAGTAAGTTTTGGTTTGCTTGTGTGTAAAAACCTGCTACAACAGCACCATCTGCTGGTATAGTGCTGGAACAACCACATTACACTTAATCTCTTTTGACACACGCTAAGCGGCAGAAGTGTCAAAAGTGATTCATGTGTAAAATGAGAGCCTGTGCTCTGTGCCTGCTTTTTTACGTTCTTCTCTTCTCACAAGGTGGTTATTTACACAGATTGTTCTGTTAGATACAAATGTCAAATTACACGCACACAAATCTGGGTGCACACGCACACAGTCAAAGTTACTTACGAATCTGCGAAGGCAGGACTGCATCAAAAGATCTGTGCGTAAAAAAAAGACTTGTCTAAAACATACCTTTTCTTTTTTTTATACACACACATCTTGTTACGCACATACAAGTCTATTTTCACACGCACAAATATTTTTTCTACACACACGCAAATCTTTTTACGCACACACATCTGTTTACGCACGCACAAATATTATTGAAACAATAATAGCTCCATAAATATCGGTGATGGTTGGTTATTACCTCCTAGGGGACTCTTCTTACCCCCTGCAGAACTGGCCCCTAAACCCTTTCCGGACTCCGGGCGAGTGACAGATGAACAACAAGTATTTAATAGAAAATTCAGCACTGCGCGAGTGGTTGTTGAAAATGTTTTTGGCAGTCTTAAAGGAAAGACTCGGACACTGACCATGTGAAGTCAATGGTGCGGACTTGCTGTGCTCTGCACAATGTTTACAAAAACCATGGAGAGTCCTGTGACAGAATGGGACACACCTGGTAGCAACGGCAGCCTTTGTAGCAGTGGTGCTGAGTAGAGTCTGTTGCGTATGGATGCGTCACTTTGTCATATGCCCAAACATTTATTTTGCCCTTGTTGTTACAACCCTGTCGTTGAGCTCGTATGGGAAGAGGGATGTAACATAAAAGAACCAAGATGTAGAATGGTAAATTAAATGGCCTTTAGTAAAAATAGGCAAACGGAGGTAACAACGTGCACAGGACCTCTCCTGAGTTAAACAAAAACACAGACTTCTCAACACAACTAAATCAAAACACAGATACAGAGCCACACAGGCAATCTTAAGAATAAGCTGTAGCGCACACAGAAATACGTTCTCTCAGAACGGTGGCAGACAAGACACAGATTCAAATCGCCCCGCACGTTATGGTGTAGCTTCGGCACGGTTGGAACCACGGTTGAGGTGGTACGAAAAAAGTACCCTTATCCCAAAATGCAAAATTACCGCGCCATACCGTACCTTTACTGTGGAATAGCGGCAATAGCTTTTTGGCCTGATAGCGGCACGGTGAGGCTGTGATGGATAATGCGGGGACCCAAAAATGTCAGCTTTGTATGGCTGGTAAACCAGGATTTCTGGAGATTGTCCAGATTGCAATTTTGCATCCGTTGTCCCACATTCATACTCACAAACACGCACTCATTCACCCTGAACTGACATGTTTTTAGTGGTAGGGGAAACCGGAGTACTGAGAAGCAAGAGTGCCATCCATTCAGCCACTGTACATGGAGAGCTGTGCGTGAGAGCAGCATGTATTACACACCAGCAATGTGTGCAGAGTTGCAGCTAGTGCAGTTTATGTAGAAGTGTAAGTCCTCTACAGCAGTGGCCCCCAACCACCGGCAGCACCGGTACCAGGCCGTGGGACATTCAAACCAGGCTGCCAATGAAAGAGAAAATATTTTTTGTATTAGACTCTCAACAATCCTTTTATATTGAAAAATTACCATATTCACTCGTCTTTATTACTTCACATGGTAGCACTGAAATGTAAACAATGCCTTTCCACCGCACGTGCATGGAGGCTGAAATGTAAACACATTTTGCGCAATGAAGAGGCTCCTGCAGCACAGAGGCTCTGGCGTTTTACAAACGCAGTGTAAAGGAATTAACGGGAAGTGGGCTTTACTGACTGCAGTGTTTTTTCTGCAGCCTCTCATTATTGTGGCCAACAAATGTGACGTGAAGAAGATCAGCGAGCTGTCTGAGGAAAACCAGGTCAGTTGGGCTTCATTTTGAAGTTGCTCTTCCGAAAGAGCTGCTCTAACCACATGTATGTGGAGCAGAAGCTGTTCTCCGAGCTCTCGTCTGAGGGCATCCTGGTGATCGAGAGCAGCACACTGACAGAGGAGGGAGTAATGCAGGTCAAGACGGAGGTAGGTCTTCTCAAACTAGTTCGGCAGAACGCCAAGTACCACAATTTTCAATTAATGTTCCAATGTTTTTCATAATACAATAGAACGGGTATACCACAAACAATATGTTTGGACTGCCTTTATAATGCACTGGAACTGCTTCAGGTGATAACTGCTGCTACTTTTCCTGGCATAGTTTTTTAAATACACATTTTTAGCATTTATATCGGTAATGCTACAGGCTTTTTGTGTCACTCATGCACTGAGATAGTTTAGTTTCTGTACCTCGGATTGAGTGTTGTCTAGCATACGTATGAAGGCCACATCTGGGAACGGAACGATCTTTAATGTTGGTGCTTGCTTAAGTGTGTTGCCTTCTTCTTTCCCAGGCTTGTGATCGGCTGCTGTCTCACCGTGTGGAATCGAAGATGAAGGGCAAGAAGGTCCATGACGTACTGAACCGGCTGCACCTCGCTGTGCCCAACAAGAGAGATGACAAGGTCTCACATACTGTTTGCGCACACATGCACATTAGGGGTGGTTGATCTGTCTAATTTCCCAATTTGATTCGATTACCAACCAAAAATCTGTTACTAACAATTCTAAATTCTTGATGCATAATTCTTGATTTTCCATTTGACAACAGTAACCCAACGTGAATGATTTGTTTTAACTTGAAAAAATGTCCACACTCTCTTATGAACGTTAACATTTGGAGACAGACGCACAGACCGCATGCGTTTTGCGTTTTGTTGAGATGTTTAGAGCTCCTGCCATGAAAACCAAAATGAATCCACACACTTGCTTTTAACCCTGGGTGGATTGGTTGGTTGCTAGTTGCTGGTTTTTCGCTCGCTCACCCTAGCGCGGTATGCACTGGGCAAGGGTTTTCACAAACTGGTACTTTCGTATTGGCAAACACGAGGCACTTGTTTACAGTCACCGCTGAATGTCAGCTTGAGGTGCAGATATGTTCTCTAGTGCCTTTGTATTCCTGTTTTGACCGGCTTGCAGGGTTGCTAGATACCAGGAAGTTCAAACCTAAAAAGGAATTGTCTCATGAAATGGGGTAATTTTTTGGTGTTTTATTTAGCCAGCAGGTGACAGCAGAGCTCTGTGGGTGTCTTGGTCAAAGATCACTGTCTTGAGCACTGTGAGCAGGAGAGACTGAGTTGAAGCAGACTTGGAGGAATATAGTCAGGGACGGGCATCATTTGGAGCCAGTTTGAGCAGTAAATGTGTCTCCAGAGCTGACAGGGACCATGTGGAGGGTCAGAGCAGCAGACCAGCGGTGCACCCCAAAAAAGCCACACAAAAGTGGGCTATCGCTAAAACTATCACTGAGCCCTGCACCAGGAGCAAGGTGCAAAGTCCAGCACTCGCTGGACTAAACAGAACGACACTGTAGATGTAACCACCAGTGATGGGAATAACAGCGTAGAAATACTCTAGTACTACTCTACCTTAGTCGCACAATGAACTTTTTTTTAACTTCATGATAGGACACGTGCGCGTGTTGACATGAGAGAAGGGAGGATGACATAACCTCTCAGCAATTATTGGCTGATGTAAAACATATTTACTTTACAATCTGCATCTCTACAGTTGAGAGGATGGGTCATAAATTGTGTTTTTGACAACCAATATGGGGCTTAAACATGAAGCTGGTCTGACTTTGTGGTCTGTGCAGTTCATGTTTAAAGTGATAGTCTGGAACTCTAAATGATTTGCAAATTTAAAAATTGTATTAAATTGACCTCCTGGCCTTAAAGCTGCATTACCTGACTTTATTTTTGTATTCATTACAAAAATTCTTACCATTGAAATGCATTGGGATATACGTCCTTTTGAAGAAAAAGTTGCGCAGATTTGTGCTGGCGTTTCATTTTGTTTTAGATCGAGTTTTCGTGAAACCAGAGAATTTGTTTCGGGTCCAGATTGTGACCAATCACAGCGGACCACTGGCCCCCGCTTTCTTGAGAAAAGCCACAGGTCTCTCGTTAGCACAGACAGCGGAGGTAAGCAAGTCTTCGTTACCAGTTACTGCTTACACGGCGAAACAGCCATCCAAAAGAAAGTCTTGTCCTCTCCGCTTCCCGGTTCTGTCATTCTATGGTCACGCCAACCACGTTAAAATGTGCTATCCATATTTTGAGTGGTGAGCTCCGTATACATTTAGCACGTTAGCACAGCTCCGTGGGTGTGGGGAGGGCGAGCAAAAAGAGCGAGCCCAGCGCTCACATTCGAACATTTCTCAAAGTCAGTTAGTGCAGCTTTAAATGTTGATATAAAATAAGTCATTTTATGAATTCTAATATGGGTATGTCCCAACTTCCCTTCTCTTAGCCAATGGCCAGATGCATTGACGTCTAAGATAAGAGATCCTTTATTCGTGGCACAGTGGGGAAATTTCAATGTAGCGCACATACAGGACAGTAGTAAGAGACACGTTTGACTCAAACTAATGGAAATAAAATAAATACAAACATGTGATTGATTTATCTTGTAAAAAGTGTTACACTGCACATTAGGGAGTACTATAATGGCTCCCAGTCCTTTTGGTTGATTGCCGCCATCGTCCGTAGGCTCGCAGTTAGACTTCGGCCGTCTGTCATGGAGAGTGGCCGTGGCCGGGACGTCACATGCACGGGGTCAATAGCTCAAAATCCACAATGCCGTCCAGTTTAACCCATCAAGTGATGCCAAGGGCTGTGAAAGGCTCTGAAACTACTGAACAAAGAATTCTGAAAACCCGCGCTGAGTTACCCATTTATATACTGAACCTATATCCATATTCAGATCCTCTGCATATGTGTCCTATAATGTTCAATGTATGATAATAGTTACTTCAGGGTTTACCGCAAAATATTTTTAGTACCCTTAGAATTGAGTGTCCCCCTCCCGATTAAGACAGTTACAACAACCGTACACCGCACAGGATGAGAATCTTTTGACTCCGAAGCAGACACAATTTACATGGTTTTCAATGGGAGCAAAACTGAGTTGTCCCACATCTGCTCATTCGCTCCCTACTGGCCAGTTTAATGAAACCCAAGAATACTGGTCATTCTTTCTGGCATAGTTAGCTCTACTTTCAATATGTAAATGTTTACGTTATTTGGATGAGTACTTTTTGAAATATTCGAGCAACACTTTGTGGATGTGGGTGTGTGTGTGCCATAAAACTTTCATCAAAAACACTTTCTCATAACCTGTTGTTGCTCACCTCATTTTCTCAGCCTGTATCAAGCTAGAAACTTCTTTTGTTTTTGTCTAGTCTTTCAGACTCTAGTTTCATGTTTCTCATAATCATAGCACACAATATTCTGTGAGTCTTGTAAATCAGTGAAGTAATCAAAAATGACTGGCAGTCAGAGTTAAGTGTTAAAGGAGCATTATGTAAAAAATTTGGCCAAAAGTGATACTGCAGTCAAAGTCAATATTCTGTAGTCCTCTCCTACTCTCCCTGACTCAGGTTGCCAGAAACACAAGGAATTATTTTATCAGTTGTTTTTCTGTCTCCATTCACATTGCCATGATAGCCGTGCTAATGTAGATTGGATGTTTTGAATGAATTTTATTTTTTTTATTTGGGCATTTGAGATGAGAAACATAAAGGCAATTTAACTATACATAGATTATGCAAAATAAATAACCAATTTATGTTTCAGCGTATCAACATCAGGGTTTCCTCCAGAGGATATCACCCTTCAATTTTTAGTCCCACATCAAAAAGAGACTAACATAATTTTAATTGGGGTACATGTGGTCTCAAATTACAAATTAGCTATAATCTGCAAAATATGTCTTGATTAATGTCTTTTACCTGTTTTTGAGCAATCTGTCATAGAATATGATAATATGCAATTAAATACAAACAGACTCTGGCCGGACTCGAACCCGGACCACTGGAGTGCAAGCATTATGGCTTAACCATTAGACCACCGTTACACCTAATAGATAATGTTTTGGAGGCAGCTAATTTAATTGTCAATGAAGAACGCACTCAAAGCAGCAACTTTTGCATCACATGAAAAGTTTTATCCGCTGTCTCAAATTTTCAAAGGCGTCCCGATATAAATCCTCGTTTTAGTCTTTGTTTTGTCATTAATGATTTTAGAGTCATAACAAGAGCTTTTTAAGTTCTGCAGCCACGTGCTATTTTACCAGTGAGATTAGCCACGCTGAGTTCTGGCAACCCGGATGTCGGACTTCCTGATTAGCGAAACGGCGAAGGGTAGGACATCGAAATGATAACGATAACTTTAACGTTATTAAATCATGCTCTTTTTTGAAAAGAGCATGATTTAATAACGCCTTTTGAAATATTGGGGCCATTTAAAGATGACTTGACATGCAAATACTACATAATGCTACTTTAAGTGTCATTATTATTAAAAGCTGTGCACTCAAGTGTTCAGAAGCGGTGGGGGTGGTGATTACGTCTTCCTGCTGCGACTGCTGTCTCCAAACGAGCAGAGTTTGTTGCACTAAAGGTATTGATTTAAAGAAAACCAATGGATTTATCAAGAAGGCTATATTTCCCTTGTCATTCTGAACTTACCAAGTGCGCCAAGAGGACTCTGGAAGAGTGAACTGGGGGATCTGTACATGGGACAACTATCAGTCATACTCTACAGAAATCTGATCTTTCATGCACGAGTGGCAGAAGAATTTATTATTGAAAGGAATCATAAGACTTCCTGTTTGAAGTTTTCCAGTACTCTGATATGGGACACAGCTACCATGTGGAAGAAGGTGCTTTGTTCAGATGAGACATAAATCAAACCTTTTGACTCAAATGTTATGTATGCCGCAAACCAAACTGCTCATTTCAAACATGTGTTAGAATGGCCCAGTCAGAGTCAAGACCTGAGTTCAAGAGATCTGTGGAAAGAGCTGGAAACTGCTGAAAAAACAAAGGAAGTATTCTCAAGATGTTGTTCAGGACCAAAGCAAATTAACCCTCTATGCACATGGGTCATTTTGGGGAACTTTCCTCGCCTGGTTTTCTTTGTGTATAATTGTTCATAAAACAGTCATCTTTTGATGCAGAGTCAAGCAGTATACTTTGTTTTTTTTTCAGTACAACCTGGGGTTTTAGAATATTCATATTGTAAAGCTGTAATGAATTATATAAAATTTATGGAATCATGAAGACAAAGAAAAAAATCAAACGGAAAATCAATTTAACAAAAATGTATTGAAAAAAACACAATGAAATGCTATAAACAACTTTTTACACTGCATAGAAATGTTATTTAGGGACTTGGGGATAATAGGGAAAAAAAAATGAATCTCTAACTATTATACTTTTTACAAAATTCCACTATAAAAGCAAAAAACTCTGTACTCCTGATGCCCTTCCTGAAGCAGTTTGTCTATAATACTGGGGTTGCTTCTGTAGTACAGCTGTAAAAAACGTAAAACATAAGAAACAGACAAAAAAAACATCAATTATTTATATAATACATATATTTATATACATCATATACACATAATGTCATTTTACTGTATTTATTATCTTTACCAATAATGCGCACTCTTCAGCCGGTAGTTGCAATCGCAGCTGTAGTTTCAACTGGGAGAACAAGTGCACACAGAGGAGTGAGACATCTCACTCTCTGACGATCTTTGGCAGTCCCCGTGTGTTTGTATCTCACAGCTGTTTGTACCTCACGGGTCACGCTTTGGACACGGACTTTCAGACAAACGTAGTTTATCGTCCGTGCATCGCACAGACAAATCAAAACTAGTTTTGGAAAGCCCTGAATACGTACTTCACAGAGGAAAAAAAAGTAAGTTGCTACGTTACTGTTTGCGAGTAAATTGATCATTTGTAAAACATGTGCGCATGCATCGTCGCCGATGCAGACGAGTTCATAGGGTTAAGACATTTGCTTTTTAAATGTTGGTTTAACACAATTATGGGCCTTTCCCCCGAACGCTTCTTGTGACTAAACAATGTTCTGGCTTCCTGAAAGTTGTGATTTCTAAACTAACGAGTGAGATCTGTTTTGTTCTTCACAGGAAAGACCCCCGTTCATCCCAGAGGGAGCGCTGCAGAGGAAGAAGGCCATGGAAGTGGACCAACCCAAACGCAAAACGGTTTGTGCACACGCTGCTCATGCTGTTACTGATATTCAAACGGATCCATATCCACAGTCTGTATTTCACCATTTAAAGCGATCCTGCAGAGAATTTCTTTGGTAAAACAAATATAAATGAAGATGAATGAATGTACCTGAAAAAAATATCAGATACCACGTTTTGTTTGTGGAAAAAGCTGTACAGTTTGCGACATCAACCGATATAATTTCAGTATATTTGTTGAGCCGTGCTTGGTCTCCATTTCAACCAAGGTTTCCCACGCACTGCTTGCAGGAGCAGGGTGGGGCATTTTACATGTTCGATCTAACTGCACAAAGAGTTTAACCGTCAATCTGCAACACATTCTCCCATTAAGCTGCTTGTGTTATGCAGGAGCGGGACCTCGAGGTGGAGATGGGAGACGACTACATTCTGGATCTGCAGAGTAAGCTGTGTGTGTGTGTCTCCCCTAAGCGTCCCGTCTGGTTGTGTGTGTCTCCTGAGTACCCCCTGTGGTTGTTTGTCTGGATGTCTCCTGAGCCCCCTGTGGTTGTCTTGCGCAGAGTACTGGGACCTGATGAACGCGGAGGAGAAGCAGGACAGGATTCCGGAGGTGTGGGAGGGCCACAACATCGCTGACTACATTGACCCGGACATCATGAAGGTACACACTTTAAAACGCCTTCCCAGGGTCTGACTGTGAACAGAGTGTGATTGGCCGGGGACCAAAGCTTTGCCCAGGCATTACACGTTGTAACTGTCATAGGGACAATGTTGAGATAACTGATGGGCAACGGTTGCGTGAGTCCGTTTTGAACGCTTTCAAGTGACTTATATTGTTCCTGCTCGGGTGTTTTTTTTCAGTTCAGTTCCGACTAGAAAATGGTTTTGTGGGGTATCTTCATGGGACTAAAAAAAATTTTATGGCTACGGCGCCTGACAAACCGGAAGGAAAAAATAATTCACACACAGCGTATCAGGTGTCTCAGTTAAAGTTGCCATATTTTGCTTTTCTTAATTTTTCACAGTCCATCCTATGCACATGTGTGATGATAATTTGAGTGGTACACCATACAACACTTAAAAACTTTATTATAGCCATTTCTTGCATAGTGATGTCACCTCATGTGAAAGGCTTGGATCTGTGTTCCTCTGTCAGCTTTCACTGTTAGGCATTTCAAAGCCTGAGAATAAACCTTTTCCAACAATGGCAATCTGTTACATACATAGACGTTGGCGGTGGTTGTGGGATAGGCTGGGGCTATTTTAGTTATTTGGAGTGCTGTGTGCTTTTTGTGTGAGCCGGGCTTGTAGCCCCTACACCACAGCCCAAGCCTCCCCCCTGTCACTGGCCTGGTGTGCTGACGGCCCTCCCTCTCTACAAAGGCAAGCCCGCTGCTGTGGATCGTTTTGTGCACTGAGACCCGTGCGGCACTGGCGGGATATGGAGCGGCGACACCGAGCTGACCTGGAGCGGCGCGCGCACCGGCTATTGAGGGGCGCACCGACCTCACCACGACTCTTTTAAAATTAGATTTTTAATGGGGACCCAGTCTTTTATATAAGAGTATTAATAATTAATTTAATGTTCCTAAATAAAATTGTTATCCTTTTCATTTGTGTTGAATGGTCAATTAATAGGAGTGCTCCCCATTGGACAGTATATAGGGTTGTACCGGGGCCCTCCGCCCCCGTGTCAAGTGGCGTGCATGCCTGGATTGTCCAATTGGGTTGAGCTCTATTAATTTAGGCTATGTCAACCGACGAATTGCACGCAGGTGCGCAAGCAATGATGATGTTGCCATTTTTAATGGGAGGACTTGGGTGTCTAAATTTAACGGGGTTGGATCTGAGATTAGGTTGGAGAATGGCGATCCCAATTAGAGACTATGCTCACGTTTCAACCAATAAGGGACGCACCACAATGCAGACTTTGTAATAGGGTTTTTAGTCGGAGAGCAAAACGTGAAATTTTGGCTTTGGATCGTGGGTAGATCCGAACACCCCAAAGGAAAATATTTGAAGCACTGTCTGAACTGTACGGGGACAATCACCACATGTTCTCGCTTTAAGAACACAATTCTTTAATTGCAGACAGGAGGCATAATCAGACTTGAGGGTCTTTTTCCCTACCCTTGCGTGAACTGTTTCAGGCTTAAACAAAAAGACACCATGGGCCTTGGGGCAAAGGAGACTGTGGTTGCTGAGTCCGTTCCTCCAGGGCCTTAAGAGGACCAGTACGGCAAGAGCTTCGTCGGAGTTACGAAAGCCCCAGCTCACTTCGATGAGGTAAAGATGGAAGCTTTAGAATTGGTGGATGAACAAGACATGCAATGGCCTGCTTTCGAGTGTACAGCGGTGAGTAAAACCACACCCGTGAGGCCACACGTTACTGGATTGGAAACAAGAGCTGCGTCTGAGATCCTGAAGGATGTAAGGAGCATTATGGTCTGAAATGACGAGGACTATTTTAGACAGTTAAAAGGTTGCAGCAGGACCTCAACCTATTCTCAAACTTCTGGGGGTTCCCCCCGATACAGGGACCGAAGCCCAAGACCAAAGTTCCCCATATAGCCATGCAGATTCAGGATGGGACCCCCAGGGCGTCCATTGAACGTATGTGAACAAATGGTCATATCCGAAGTAGGTGCCCCTCCAATAACCCGCTGGGCAGGATTTATAGGCTCCCCGCGGGTCAAGTGTCCGGACCTCTTCCAAGGACCAGCTTATAATGGGTTTAAGAGTTAAACTCACTGGAGTACTGCCCTCTAGTGGATGTGAGAGTGATGGGATAAAAGTGAAGTGCTGCTTGAATACAGGGTCTCAAAGTAACATTGTCAGTGGAGAGTGTATGCAAACGAGCTCTTGAGGAGGCAAACAACTTGTAATAGTGATGAAATTCCTGGTCACTCTGAGGGCAGCGAACGGACTTAAACCTCCCGTTGGGGTAGGGTCATGGTGGCCGACTATGAAATAACCATGGGGTCCCCGGGTACCTGCACGTGGCATTGTAGTGCCTATGGACGAAGGGTATTGGAGAAGACAAAGCCATCCTAGGATGACCGTGATTAATGACTGGTGGGAAGAACTTTTCACGCAGTACAAGGCCTCCCCCAAACACTCGATGCACCACTGAGCAGGGAAGGGATAAACACCTGTTTTTTTCGACTGTTAACGCATCCGTGCTGCTCTAATGCAGAGCCATGGCAAGCTACTGCGAGATTAGCCAGTCGTACTCTATGAAACCATACCGCACAAAGTGAAATGAATTGTTTGGGCCAAAATTTTTTGCCCTCCCCCCCCCCCCCCCCGCCCTCGGCCTCTCTTCAAACAGCCAGGCTGTGCGCTGGTAGAACCCCTTGGGGAAGATGGGGGGAGTTGGGGTGGCCAGAGCATTAGTGACTGTGGTGAAAGGCGCGCATTCCAGTGAGGGTTAGGATGTCCATTCCGTACGCTCTAACGCTCAGCGGTTCCAGAGGCTGGCGACTGTCTTGGCCGTCGACCCTGACGCGGATGCGGGATGGGATGGGAGCTCTCCTTTTGAAAGTGGGTCCTAGAGTCCGTGGAGGTTATTACTGGTCGACCACGGTGTTCCGGACATAAACCAGAGGGGTATTGAGACAACTAAGGCCCCTTCCCTCTCTAAAGGAGATGGACTCACAGATGATGAGCAATAGACATATTGAATGAACTACTGCGAAGATGGTGGTCATGTGTTCTCGACACCGAGGGGAAGATATGAACCAAACAGGGGCTGTGAAACACGTATTCCCCAGGTGATCTAACCCATTCGTGAGCGTTCAGGCCAGTACCCTACCCTTTATAAGGAAATCCGTAGCCTCCTTAAGAAATGCTAGACGGGGGAATAATCAGCGAGAGTTGTTAGCAGTGGGCGGCCCAATTTGTTCTGGTTCAGAAGAAAAATGGTTCTTGGCGTTTTGCGGTTGATTACCGCAAAAATAACCTGTGTCACGCATAATGATGCCTACCCTGCCAGAATAGAGGATTCACTAACTAGCCTGACTAAGCAGAGAGGTGATTCCACGTTGATTTAGCCAGCGGTTATTGGCAGGTGGAGGGTCGGAGGAGAAAGACAGGGAAAAACCGCATTCACAAACCCCATTTGGTTTGTGCGAGTTTGAGGGATGTCATTTGGGTTGTGCATGGCCCCTGCAACCTTTCTAAGATTGATGCAAAGGTATTGGGAGATCGGCTAGCGGAGTCTGCTTGGTGTTTCGGATGATGTGATTTATTTTCCAGGACTTTCCCAGAGCATCTCCAACAACCTGGAGGCAGTATTCCGCTCCCTGGGGCTGTATGGCCTTAAGCTACGCCAGAGAATGTGCCGCTTTTCCAGTAGGCAGGTCAAGTTTTTTAGGACTGTGTCTGTAGCCAGGGAGTTTCGGCTGATCATACAAGGTGCTGCCGTATCTAAGTGGCAACCCTACCACGCTACGGCAAGTTCGCTCAGTTTAGGATTGTGGGTCACTTTAGGCGGTTTGTAAGGGACTTTTCCTCAAATAGCCAACCCTAATGCACTTTTAGTTGGAACGGGGCCGTATAGAGGCAGACGTTCCCCTTCTATTGAGTGGTCCGACCCTCAAAGCGACGTGCCTTTCAGCAGTTAAGCAGGAATTGCTACAGGCACCCCATTTTAGATTATGCGGGATTACACCATCCATTTGTGTTATACCCACAGATGCATAGTACTGCAGGGCTTGGAGTGTATTGGCCCAGGTACAAGATTGGGTCGAAAGGGTTCTAAGCATAGTGCGAGTAGGAAGTTTACATCCGCTGAGAGCAACGACTCAAATATAGCTCTTTTAAACTTGAGCTTTTGGGATGAAATGGGCTATAGTTGAGAGTTCATGGACTATTTGTGGGGGGCTAGTTTGCTGTTAGGACAGGACAACCAATCCACTAGTGCACCTGCAGATGATAAACTAGGGGCTAGTTCTGAAACAAAGGGGGGCTGCACAGTTGGCAAATTACAGATGATTACACCTATCAGTTTAACGGCCAAGGCAGGCAGAGATCACTATGCCGCCGTCCTTTCTAGACTGCCTGCTCCCCCAGACCGGGAATTGGCCGGAGAGAGAGACTGTTTTTGTTGGGCAGTAGTGACTATGTCTATGGACTCTCCGCCCAATAGCGGGAGGTGGGACCCAGAGCGCTGGAGAAGTCTACAAAATGAAGACCCCGGACTTACAAAGCATAAAGGAAGCACCGTTGAAAGAGGTTCCCTACTGTGCGCTAACGAGAGACTATTGTTAACCCTATCTGCCAAGATCTTGTTGAGGCACTGGAGGAGGCTAGAGTACGGGACGGGATTTATGTCGGATTGTCCAGACCCCAGACTCTACGAGACTCTTGCCCGATTGTTGTCCCCAACATCACAGGCGAGGCCCCTATGGGACTGTATATCCCGATTCAGACTGGGGCATCCAGGATTGGTGATCATTGTCACTTTTAAGAAGGAAGTTTTATTGGCCTACAAATGGAGGACATGGTTCAAATCCTGGCTATTGCTTGCCCGCGAAGCATGCTGCACAAACCGGACACCACGTAAGGCCCTTTAGTGGCACTGTAGCGAGAGCCCCCCATGACCTTGTTGCTGTTGATTTCTTGACCTTAAGTCCACCCTACAGATAGGTACCAAATATATTAGTCATGACGGATTTGTTCACAAAGTTGGCCATTGGGCTGGTCCCAACACTGGATCAAACTGCCTGACTACAGCCGGGCCTTGTGGACTTATTGATCAGCCATTTGGCTGCCCTGAGGTGTTACACTCGGGACCAAGGGCCAAATTGTGAGTCTCGGTTATCCAAGAAACCTGTCAGATCTACGGGTGCATTACGAGTAGACGACACCCTATCACCTATGGGCGGAACGGAGCCTGTGAAAGGGCTTAACCAGACTCTATTGAACCTGTGGCTCGCTTGAAGTAGAGAAACACCAACGATGGGTGGAGTACTTACCTGACTAATTTCAAGATTAACAACACTGTTCCTGTTCTACAGCAGGGGTGTCCCAAACGGTCCAGAAGGGCCGCTGTGGCTTCAGGTTTTCTATCTGACCAACGAAGCAGAGTAGACTCTCCACCCTTTCCTCAAGTGGAGATTCAGTCTTTATACTGAGGATTTGAGGAAATGGGTGGTGTCTGCTCTGGTTCCTGCTGGGTCTTGATAGAAAACCTGCAGCCCACGGCGGCCTTTCTGGACGGTCTGGACCACCCCTGTTCTACGGTTACGCCACCCCAGCTATTCTTGATGTTTGGCCGCCCACATGGAGGGACCCCAGTTGACCTATTGACGGGGGTTTTAGCCCCAAAGCCTTTGGTCGTACAGGACTGGGTTACTAGGCACCGAACTGCAACGGACGTATGCTTACGAGAAGGACATCAGGAGCCTTCAGAATGCAGGTCTAAAAAATAACAGACTGTATGATCGCACTGCAATGGAGCCCCGCTTTTAATAGGCCGAGAGCGCGTGCTAGGGGTGAACCACAGGAGGAGACAGACTGGGAAACTGGGTGACCACTGGCAGTCCAGAGACCACCATGTTGTTGTAACCAGGCTCCACCCCGAACGCCCAAATTATAGTGTGCATCCTGAAGGAAGAGATGGCCCTGAACGAGTCATCATCGCAACACTTGAGACAGTGCCCATAAACTACATACAACCAGAGGCGGAACATGGAGGCTGACTATAAGTGTGGAGCCCTCATTGCACATGGGGATTTATGGTGCCTGGTGGGGGGTGTACAGAAGACCCAGAGCCCCACCAGGAACCAAGGAGGTCCCAGAGGCCCAATATGGGGTGCGGCTCCAAGATTTTAGGGACTAGACCTCTTGTTCCCTGTGTCTGCTGAGTGATGTTCCAGGGACTTAGGAACCATATTAGTGGGGGGAGGATGTCACCAAGGTGGACAAAGGAGCGTGTTGGGCGTGTGTGGGATGGGCGTGCTGTGCGTGTGTGCGTGCGTGATGGGCGTGGGGGGTGGAGGGCAATTAGGTAGAAAGGACAGGTGTGTGTGGGATGTGTGTGGAGGTTGTCCGGAGCAGGAGTGAGCTGGCGGGGCTGTAGCGAGCAGCGATCGGGCAAGAGCAAATAGCGGCGCTCGAGACGCGCGCCGGAGCCGGCGGAGTGGACCAAGAGGAGGAGCACGGTGACAGGAGGCGTCGTGGGGAACTGGAAGGGGGAGAGTACGGCGACCCCCCTCCGCGCAGCTTGTGGCTTTCTGTTCGGTTGGCGTGGTTGTGGGAATAAGGCTGTGGCTATTTCGTTATTGGAGTGCTGTGTGCTTTTGTGTGAGCCGGGCTAGAGCACTTACACCACCAGCCAAGCCTCCCCCCTGTCACTGGCCTGTGTGCTGACGGCCCTCCCTCTCTACCAGCAGCCCCGCTGCTGGGGATCGTTTGTGCCCTGAGTTCCCGTGCGCACTGGCGGAATGGAGCGGCGCACCCGGCAGCAGACCGAGGAGCGGCGCGCGCCACCGGCTTTTGTGGGGCGCACACGACCTCGACGGACTCTTTTAAATAGCATTTTAAATTGGGACCCAGTTCTGTTTATATTATAGTATTAATAATTAATTTTATTGTTCCTAAATAAAATTGTTATTCTTTTCAATTTGTGTGGAATGTCCAATTCATAGAGTGCTCCCCAGTGGACAGTAATGGGTTGTACGGGCCTCCGCCCCCGTGACAAATATGACTATATAATCCTACAGGACAAAAGTCAATGGTGACCCTATCGTTGTTTGAAACAATAATTTCTATTTATGTATATATGTTTATCTCAGTCTAAACTTAATCTCAAGACAACCCACATGATTTGAGAGGATCCTCGGCAGTACTTCATGAATCGCTCCCATTTCCGGTCCTCACAGAGGTTCAAACCGTCATTAGTGAGCGTCATTCACCTAAAACAAACTTCAGGCTTCGCAAAAACTTCAGAGATTTCTTTCTCGACAATCACTAGTATGTACTCTCCCCTGAGACAGACTGTAAGTACAAGACGGTAAACTCTGTATTCACACTGACAGATGTGGCGTTGCGCGCGTGGGCCTCGGGGATTCAGCTTTAACTTTGTTGTGCCAAGATCTGAGTGATGCCCGTGTGGGGCTACATGCTAATGCATATGCTAGTCGTGAGTGTAAACTACTGTCTAGAAGAAGAGGACGAGATGGAGTCCGATAGTGAGATTTATTAGCTATATGTTACACTAAGATGCAAATTTAACAGAAATTATACATAGCTTTGCAAAATAATCATATTAGTGTTTTAAAATAGTATAAGATAATAGCTGTACAGGTGTACAGTGTAAAATCAAAACGTTTAGGTAAATGTAGCAATTAATATTAAGACTTCACATTAGGATGAAGTGAGTAATTAATTTTATATTTGATTCTTAATGCTCAGTCCCGCCTGCTCTATGACTCATATCAGCTTGGTTCTGGTGTCCAATAGAGATTTTTGTTATTGTTTGAATTATAAAATCAGCTAAATTCATGATTATATAGTGAAAGTGATTATTTTTTATTATCATTATTTTTTGTATGTATTTTTTTGCAAGTTAAGAATCAGTTATTCACTTTACTTGATTTCATGATTGTAAGTTTTTGTTGATTGATTGATTTATTTTTGTTGTTTTCGTATTTTTATTATCACATGTGTTTATGTGATAAAATGGGAGGGTGTGGTAAACAGTGACCTATGTACTGCACAGGTGGACAAATGCAAGACAAAATAGTATTAATAACCTGGCCTTGTGGAGGTCTCAAGGACCACAGAGACTTTCGTTGTTTAGGCTATTTGTGCCGAAGGTTTGGCCTTTTCTATGATGACGTAGATTTCCATATATAATGTATCTGTGTCTTTTGTTCTGCCTGAAAATTAACGACCATTTTGTGAATAAACCAGCCAGGAGGCTTTGTCGTACAAAGATCCCAATTTGCATGAGTCTGATTCTTATCAATGTTCCTGAAGAACCCCAATCATCACAGCTGCAGAAGGTGAGCAAAATTATAAGTGCATCCAGACACAAACTAATAGATGGTTTCAGCGGAGGAGCAAAGACCTGCTGTGTCCATGCCCCTCATCACAGGCAATTTACACAGTAGGCGTTAACAGCGCGTAAGCGTTGACTGCGCGTAATCTTTTTTTGCAGTATCTACACTGACCGTGCGTGCAGGTCCGGGGCTTCTGATGCTGTCCCTGTGTAGTCTATGGAGCAGTGTAGAGGACAGTACAGAGGACTGATGAGAGAATCACTGTTAAACCTGCTGCTCCTCCTGCTAATGTTTATATACAAGTCATGTGTGTGTGCAGATGCGATCTAGAGCCAAGGACCGCTAGTAAAATCATGTTAAACATGAGGTTTCAATGGGAGACGCGTTGCGCGCACAAAATTAGAAATCAATCCTAAATTAGAGCGCAGCCGCGCGTCATACGTCCGTCATACGCGCGTATGACAGTAGTAGTGTAAATATCCACATTGGTTAACATGGGAAAAAGTTACGCGCGTCTGCTGCGTGTATAACGTGTACGTGCTGTAACGAGTCATGTGTAAATTAGCAGTCAGACCTGCCCTGTTCATGTCCCTCAGACCTCCATGTCCTGTCCATGTCTTTCGGGGCCAGAAATGTTTTCACATTTTTTTTTTAGGCAAGGCAAGTTTATTTGTATAGCACAATTCACATATTTTTAGAAAGCATCAAAATCATAAATAAATCACAAAACATTAAAAAGAAAGATAAGAATATAAAATATAAAACCTGGTTTTAAAAATGGTCAGAGAGGAGGCCTGTCTTACACTTTCAGGAGGATTGCTCCAGATTTTAGCAGCATGAATCTGAGAAGCAGCCTCCCCATGTTTAGTCCTGACTCTGGGCACTAACAGGAGTCCAGTCCCTGTGCTCCTCAGAGTCCCAGCAGGAGTCCAGACCCTGTGCTCCTCAGAGTCCCAGCAGGAGTCCAGTCCCTGTGCTCCTCAGTCCGGGCTGGTTCATATGGGACTAACATGTCACTAATATATTTTGGTGCGAGGCCATGGAGAGACTTGTACACAAGCAGAGCTGTTTTAAAGTCTATTCTCTGAGCCACAGGAAGCCAGTGCAGAGACCTGAGGACTGGACTAATGTGGTCGTACTTCCTGGTTCTAGTCAGGACTAATGTGGTCGTACTTCCTGGTTCTAGTCAGGACTAATGTGGTCGTACTTCCTAGTTCTAGTCAGGACTGGAGCTGCTGCATTTTGAATGTACTGCAGCTGTTTTACAGCCTGTTTGGACAGACCTGTGAGCAGGCCATTGCAGTAGTCTAACCTACTGGAGACAAATGCATGGATAAGAATCTCCAGGTCTGCTTTAGACACTATGTTTTTAATCCTGGCAATGTTTTTTAGATGGTAAAAAGCTGCTGATGTTACTGATTTGATGTGGCTATTAAAATTTAAGTCTGAGTCCAGTATTACCCCTAGATTTCTGACCTTGTTTGAAGGTTTTAGGGAGAGAGACTGTAGGTGACAGATGACGCTCTCTCTTTGTTTCTAGGGACCAAAGACAATAATTTCAGTTTTGTCTGCGTTTAGCTGAAGGAAGTTGTTTTGCATCCACTCACTGATCTGTTGGATACAGTGAAGGAGTGAGTCCACTGGTCCATGTTCTCCTGCAGTCAGTGAGACATATATCTGAGTATTAGTTTACTATTTGTGTGACAACGAATAATGGAAACTAAGGTTGTTATAAAAAAAAAAAAGAGTTTTACCCATTCTTCATTTGACCCAAGTGATGACTTCTGCTTGGATTGTAGACACATTTTCCTTTCATTCGTCAGTCAATATGGAGTTAGCTGAGACTAAGCCTCTCCTCACATGTTAAAGACTATCAAAGAGTCAATAAACCATTTAATGATCAGTTTCTTATTACAACTATTTTAAAAATGATTGACCAATTTCAAAAATCAACTATTTTAGTAAACAATCATTTACAACTTCATATCTAGACTCTGGTACTGTCACAAGACTAAATACTAATTATTTAAATAGTAGAAAACTAGTGCTAAAACAATATACATATTTGAGCCCTATTATTATTATTAATCGGTTTTGTGTAGAGTTTTTGGACACTCAACAAGATGCTTCACATATTCTTTCACTACATACACAGTGGTCAATTAATGAGAAAAACATACAAAATATAATATGTTCTTCCTTTTTTTTCATTAGGGTCGGAGCAGATTCCCAGACGTCCCACTCCACACACTTCCTCCAACTCATCAGGAGGAATCCTGAGGCGTTGCCAGGCCAGCTGAGAGACACAGTCCCTCCAACATGTCCTGGGTCTTTCCTGGTCTCCACCAAGAAGTGAAGTTGGCTGAATGACTAAGTTTACAATCTCACCAGCTGCATTAGTGCAGTCAGCTGATGCTTTAAGTCATTATCTACAAGATGAAACATTGGGACTAGGGCCCTCTGTGGGGCACAGGGACCAGGGCTTATATTGGAGGTTTGAGGGTAATTTTCTTTAGTGCAGTACAAGTACAGAGTACAGAGGGATACATGCCACCTCACTCCTAACATCACAACCTTTGAACTTTTGAATACCTGTTCACTTCACACTGTCTACAGCAAGAGGGTACTCACTTTTCATGGTTTATTGTTCTCTAATCTTCTCATGTTCTTTTTTTACAGTATTACCCTTCTCATCCTCAAAACCTGAAGCACCTATTCTCATCTCCTGCCTGCATCCCTTAAGCATCTCATTGAATTTTCAACTTGGATATTTGGAGTATTTTGGGTGTGAAGATTGAGTTCCTGTCAGTCGGAGGCAGCTCTTCCTTCATTGTGCATCAACATTATCTATTGTTAAAACAAAGTCATGGTTAGGGATGTTTGTAAGCTTTGCACACAAGCAAACACATGTGACATTAACTAGCAATGCAAGACTCAGTGGAAACGCTGTGGTGAAAAGAGGTCGCTGTCTTACTCACTTTAGTTCATTTGATTCTGAGCAGCTAAATAATCAGAATATATAGCTACCACCACTATCAATAAACATATTTTTATTCATAGAATCCATAAATGTGTGTATTGTTCTGATATTCCGTTTATTTCCTGAGATATGAATTAATAAAGTTGACGAATATGAGGCAGAGTGGGCCACAGATAGTCTGGACTCTGAAAAAAAATGAGTCGGGATATCCTCGGCATTCCGCGCGGGTTAATGACGTCGCCGCAACGTGATATTTACCGGGTAAACAGATCACTTATTACTGCGCATTACGGTGAAAGCGGCATCTCTCCAGCTGTTGCGGTTACGGAGATATAATCCGACGAACTTAATAGCAAAATACACGGTAAGTAACCGGGATTTTGGAAAACCAACACCACACACATACATCTAAGATTATAAGCTTTAGAATGATGGTATATTTGAATCATGTCACGGTTGTTTTGACCCGCGGATCAGTGAATAAAGTTGAAAAACCGCAGCGCTCATCACACACTCTGCTCTGCTGCTGAAGCGGCACGCAAGTCCGGGCGAGTCCACTTTTCCGGGGGGTAGAAACGCGAGTCACGTGGCCCAAACGGACCAATGCCATTGGTTGGACTAATCCATTTTACATGTTAACAAGGGTGTTTGGGTTGTTAACATGTTTAAAGCTCGGGTCTGTAACTTTAGTCTCATAAATAACATGCTTAAAGCTGAGGTCTGTAACTTTAGTCTCATAAATAACATGCTTAAAGCTGAGGTCTGTAACTTTAGACTCGTAAATAACACATGTTTAAAGCTGGGGTCTGTAACTTTAGACTCGTAAATAACACATGTTTAAAGTTGAGGTCTGTAACTTTAGTCTCAAATAACACATGTTTAAAGCTGGGGTCTGTAACTTTAGTCTCATTAATAACGTTTAAAGCTGAGGTCTGTAACTTTAGTCTCGTAAATAACACATTTTTAAAGCTGAGGTCTGTAACTTTAGTCTGATAAATAAGATGTTTAAAGCTGAGGTCTGTAACTTTAGTCTCATAAATAACACATGTTTAAAGCTGGGGTCTGTAACTTTAGTCTCATTAATAACGTTTAAAGCTGAGGTCTGTAACTTTAGTCTCATTAATAACATGTTTAAAGCTCGGGTCTGTAACTTTAGTCTCATAAATAAAACATGTTTAAAGCTGAGGTCTGTAACTTTAGTCTCATAAATAACACGTGTGTGTGTGTGCATATGCCAAAAACATTTCTAAGCATCATATTTAGATTGCTCCATCAATTACCTTTATTTTGATATATTACATAGTAGTTTGAAAAAAATGTTTTCCGGATTTCCTGTTGGCAGCCATCTTGGATAAGCTGGCGGCCATATTGGAATCGGGGTCGGCCAAATTGTAAAATGAATATCGAATTCAACATCCCTGAATTGTTTCCTTCTTTACTGTGAATTTTAATGTTTATAGTTAGTAAAATAGGGAAGTTACAGCACTTAGAAGATGAATAAAGGCTTGAACTGGCTGAATAGAAGGTTCCACAGTATCCCTTTGTTTTAAACCAAATTACTTTCACTATAAGCGCCTAAAAGCACTTATCAATATGGTAATAAAATCATAACCACTTATCCGATTTTCATAATTCAAAAACTGTTTTATTCCTCTTACTGAGCTGGAAAGTACTGTGCTGAATTAAATCTGATTTGGTAATTTAAAAATTGTAATCTTGCATTGCTACATTAACATAACATTCAGAGCATTAAACTTACAGATATGAACAGTTCACATCATGACAAACTGGAGCAGAGCTCGGTGAGGCACCGAGACACTGCAGGGGTTTCAAACAAGGCTTTATGTCTATTCTTTTTTTATCCACTTGTAAAATTCTGTGCCATTACCTTATGACTCCATGTGTTTAATAAAAGATGATTTATAACAAATAATGTTGACATGTAAATGGCATCTTTTCAAAGCTTCTTCTGGGAAGGTTGTCTTTGGTATTACTGTAAGCTAAAGCTATTTTTGTAACATTTTAATACCATAATTTAATACTTTTTATTTCTATATTTGTTAATTGGCTACTACTGTGAATGCTACCTATATTAAGTTTTCTAGTTGGGGGGAAAGAAGAATTTAGAAACTTTAATCCTAAAATTATAAAACAATTCAAGTGTGCTTGTGGCATTTTATGAGTGTAAAAAATATATTTAAAAACTAAATGACCAGGGGAAAATTGTTATTAAAGACAAGATCTTTTAGCTAACCAGTTAGCACTGCCCAAAGTTAATGCAAAACTGTTGAAATATAGTCATTTCGGACCCTATGGGCCAGCGCCGCGGAGCCGTGAGAGAGCGATGGAACCACGGATGACGTATCTATTCGAATGGAATCTGTACAAACTCTGGAACTGAGGTGTCCGACTCAGGATAATAGTTCCGGTTAGCCAAAACATCGATGTTTTTGGTCTTTTCAACAGCATATAGAAAACCACAGTTAAATAAGGTATTATTCATATATATCGTTCGAAAGCTAACACTTTTAACTTCCGTTTTATGCTAGTAACGTTCGCGAAATAGTTAAGTTTATGTTTTTATAACCCGTTGAAGTGGGTAACCGGTGCCTTTTTTAAGCCCGAAGTGTCCGACTTAGGAAACAGATACGCTAAATGTGGATTAATCAATTTACTTCAACCCTAAATCCAATTCATGTAACTTGTTCCTCGCTCTGAAAACAGTTTCACTAGCTTTCACATGCATTTATGTTTGGCCTACGTGAAAAAAATCTAAAGATGTGACAGACGTAGAAAAGTGAAAGCGAGTACTAAGCTAAGTACTAAGGCAGAAGGTCTGATTTGTCACAACATTATACTTAATACATCTTTTTTTCGTGGATTCTACAGTAGTTTAATATGAGGCTAACAGCAGTGAGATGTGGAAAATGTGTCTTACACTGGCAGATGGTCTTCCTCCTGTTTGAAGCCCTGTTCCTCTCGCTCCTCTTTAATCTGTGAAGACTCTGGGATCTCATGGTTCAGACCAGGCTCAGTTCTCGTCTCTGTATCTGCCTGGAGCTGCCTGACCCTCGGGTTCAGAACAGAGTCCAGGAGTGCCTGTGTCCTGTGGGTCTCCTCTTTGGAGCGGCTCAGTTCCTGCTCATACTCCTGTATCGTTCTTTCAAAAAGCAAGAAAATCTCTTCAGTGGCCGCAGTTAGACGCTCCTTCGCCATAGCTCTCAACGTTTGGTTCGACATTTTGCAGTTTTAGCTTTAGCGAAAAGAGCTAAACACAAACAGCCGAGGCAGAACTGCACGGACCCGGAAGAGACACGGCTTGTGCCCTCTGATTGGTCATTCACAAACTTCTCAGTGACAGTGTACCTATTGGCTTAGACCGGAGGGGGAAGGACGTATTTCCCAAAACTTGTCTTTTTATTTGTTATGTTTATCTAAATTATTGCCATACATCTGCTACTGGGGTGTTTCTGCTGGCGAATGTTTAAACATGATAATAATTTGTTTCAAGATCTGTATGCTAATCATGCTTATCGAGAAAAAAAAGTATTATTTTGTTGTGACTTTTTTTGTTTACCAAGAAGCCTTTTTAATATATATATATAGCCTTTTTTACCAAGAAGCCTTTTTAATATATATATATATATATATATATATATACATACATATGTATATGTAGAGTGAGAGAGACAGATATAGAGATATACATATATATATATATAGAGAGAGAGAGAGAGAGTTTTTTTCGAAGGATGAGTCAGGCGGACACAGCGTTTCCTTTTGTCTCGCTTCAGCCATATTTATTAATACAATCTGGTGTTTTCATCATTTAAACATGCTATTTCAATCACATTTTAATATTTCAATCATGTACAGTGAATGTTTAAATTACACTTGTTACAGTATATTTTTAACTGTGCATCTGGCTGTTCCTACACCCGTGAGGAACTTATGAACATCCGACCCACAGTTCCCATGGACCTATTGCCTGTTTTCTTGGCATCTGCGGCTGATTTAGTTCATGTTCTAGCCAAAAAAGTGTGGGCCCGTAAAAGGGGTAAGCGCGGAGGCCTGCTCGTGCGTCTTAGGAGGAGAGGAGCGCGCACGGCTCTCCACGGCATTTTTCTCTCCAATGTACACTCACTGGCAATAAGATGGACGAACTCGGCCTGCTCATGAGAGGAAACAAGGACTTCGCCACATCCTGTGTCCTCTATTTCACTGAGACCTGGCTAAATGAGCAGAACCCGGACAGTGCTCTGGAGCGGCAGGGTTTTGAGATATTCCTCGCGGATCGCCATTGTGCGCTATCAGGAAAGAGCAGAGGCGGAGGGCTGTGTTCAAGGGCGTAGGTTTGCGTGGGGACCATGGGGACATGTCCCCACCAATATTTGGTGAGGACTAAAAAGTCCCCACCAAAATGACATGATGTCCCGTGACCCGGACGGTCCGGGACACATGTCTTCCGTTTGGGTGCGTACCGATGTTCCCCGGGTCCGATGTTCCCCGGGTCCGATGTTCCCCCACTTCTATAGGCGGGGGAACATCGGACCCGGGGAACATCGGTACTTCGCGTATTAAAAAGTCCCGATGTTCCCCGGGTCCGATGTTCCCCCGCCAATAGAAGTGGGGGAACATCGGGACTTCAACAACGAGACTAGTCCCGCTGTTCCCCGCGTGCGCCCTTTGATGTTTGATGTTTCCTCCTCCACGAAAGATGGCATATGATCCGTGCCAACTTTTGTGAGAGAAAAAATACTAACTAGCCTAAGCCTATTTACTTTTCTTTTTCCCTCTCGCTCTTTGTGTGCTCATATTTCAGCTGATCGCAGCTTGAGTCTATGCAGGATATTTTTGGGCATGTTATGGGCATGTTATCTCCCCTTGCTCACTCTCCCATGGGCATCTATATTTGACAAGTCTGACTGAATAAAATGAGGACGATTGAAACTAGAGCTACTACATCTGTTAGCCTATAGTTTTTCCAAATACGTGGTTTTGCTGAGGGCACTGTGCTTTTACGCATAATGGACACGCATATGACGTCGTTTTTGTTGTAAAACTTGAATATGCTCTTTTAGTTTTAGAGATATTAATACATATTATTCTATTCAGAATGCGTGCGTCATTGTGCATTGTTGTCCCGCCTTACGTGTCACTCACAGTTAAAATGTAAATAACCAATTCAAACATAGCATTTTTACAACTTGAGCTTTAAGAAAAAAATGATCAAAGGAATCAGTGTAAAATAAGATCGGAAAAGCTCAATTCATGATTGTTTAATTAGGTTTCCCATTTTTAAATACAATTGGAAACGCTCAGAATTCAAAAATATTGAAAAGTGTATTGGCTCCTACAGTGGGGGGAATAATAATAATAATATAACCCCCTGAGCGTCATCACGTTCCTACGTTGCTTCAAATATAGTCCTGTTTATTGGCTGAACAATTTTGTCCAATATCATATTACACAGCGTGAAGCGAGAACAACCAGCTATTCCTCGTCTTAAAGATTGACAACGCTCTCAAAGCATTCACAACAGAGCAGCCTTTTTCAATTTTAATTTTAAGAAAGTTCAGCGTGAACTTTGTGAGGTAGAGGAGCCAGAGGCCCGGGCCCGTAGGTCCCAGAGGAGGAGAGCGCGGTCAGGCCAGGCTCGCCTCGCACTGATGAGGTAAACTCTAGGCCTGTGTGAGACACACTGTGGGCCTCACTGTAGGCCTCACTGTGGGCCTCATGTGGGCCTCATGTATGAAACCTGCGTACGGCCAAATCAGGGTAGATGAGGCGTACGCAAAATATTACACTTTTCCGCATTTATCAATCTGGACGTGAGCGTACAATACGCAAAAAATAAACGCCAGGTCTGGAGGTGGTGTAAATCTATACGCTGAACTCAACCTTCGGCACAACACGCCAAAACATACGCATGAAATTCAAGATATGTACAACAATAAACATATTCCCTCTGGCAAAATTATATGCTGTGTTTTCATTGAGGATCATGTTTCAAAATTTGAATTTGCGCATCAGAAAAAGTCTAATGGAAACACGCAAACTTCGAATAAATCACAGCTCATGATGAGGACCCTCTATTAAATCTGACTTGTGTGTGTATTATTTTGATCTGTATGTTTTTAAAATGTGAAGCGCTTTGTGATCCTGGACAGTCAAAGGCTCTATATAAATACACATACGCAACAGGGATGTGTGACCCATCTATTGCTGTGGCAGGCTCTGCGCTGCGTAATTACGCACGGCTATTTGTATTCCTCATTCACATCTGGTAAAGCAATGTGTTATTTCATTAGATTTGTGTAAGCCTCACACAGACACACACCCCAATAACGCATCGATGGTATTGCTCACTCAAACGTCTCACTGCCCTGTCCAGAGTGCGCAGCGAGTGCCGTGAGAGGTCGCGCCACATGTGCAGAAGTTTTGGCTCCAGAGTTTCTTTGTGAAATCTGGACCGCAAACGCTCTCTGAAGTGTACAGCGCCTCAATGCGCACTTCTACCCCGAGCCAGGCTGCGTCCAAGACGCTGCAGACGCTTCATTCAGAGCCACCGCTGCATAATATATATGAATTAATTAATTCATTCAATCAATCTATATTTATTCACTTCTACAATTCAAGAAGGATTTTTCTAATGTATCAAAACATTTTGGCAAATTGCGTAAATGGAATATACACCCAAAATGTACATCTTTTTCAACGCAAGTTTCATAAATGAGCTTGTGTGTATGTGCGCGCGTGAGTGCGTGTGCGTGCGTGTGTGCGTTTGAACCATATTCTTTGAAACCCCAATTCCAGTTAGCCCTTGTAGTTTTCAAGCGAATTTGGCCTACTTACTAATCTGCAGGCCTACCCAAAATTGCAAACCTGGCGCCAATACTGTTGCGAGGATGTTGTGTTGCCTGCTATATTGTATGTAACCACCAGAGGGAGCTCACGTGCAAGGTAATACGGACGGTTGAGATTTTGAATGCTGGAAGAGAAGTAAAGGACGAACTGGAGCAACTACACGTCTCTGCCTGGTTAATTTATTTTTAATACTACAATACCACATTTTTGGCGACGAGGATGTCTATTTCTGTACCCTTGCCTGCTCCATTTATGCCCTGCCCTGGAGAGCCAGCGATACCGTTTACAACATGGCTGAAAATGTTCGAGAACTACATGCTGGTGATAGCGGCTACAGGGGATAGCTGGCCTGAAGAAAGAAAACGCGCGGTTCTACTTCATGCTCTCGGGACCGAGGGCCAAAGGCTTTTCTACACATTGCCTGATACTGGTACTACTTATGACACTGCTATTACTGCACTGAAGGGCTATTTTGTGCCAAAGGTGAACGTCATTGCTGAGCGGCACAGGTTTCGACAAAGAGCCCAGAGACCAGATGAGACGGTTAATCAGTTCCTAGCTTCCTGCGTGAGTTAGCTGCTGCATGTGATTTTGGGAATATGGAGGAACAAATGCTACGGGATCAGTTAATTGAGCGTGTTGCTAATACTCGCATAAGAGACAGACTGTTACTTGAGCCGGACCTGAATCTTGCTAAAGCCGTTAGATTAGCACTGCAAATAGAGAGTGGATTGAGAGATGCTACCGTCCTCTCTGATGCTAACGCTATGGCAGCTGCGGCTCCGGTGCGGGCTTTACATACGCAGCCAAAGTCAAGTCGACGCTGGGAAAAGAAGAAGCCTTCTCCCGCTCCTGCAAAGAAACAGATGCCCGGTAACCAGCGGTCCTGTTTCCGATGTGGATCTACTGCTCATCTTGCCAACAGCCCTGGATGTCCTGCTGTAAAATCTACTTGCAACAATTGCGGTAAAGTGGGACATTTTTCACGCGTGTGCCGTTCAAACCAAAAGGAGGTACGTGAAGTTGTGATCAATGAACCTACAGTTCTCTACGTGAACAATGCTGCCCAAGATAAAATTCTCTGCACTGTACAAGTGGCGGTGGATGGACATTGTAAGGACGTTGAGCTGATTGTAGATACAGGATCCTCTGTTTCTATTATTCCTATGAGCACTTGCCACACTTTATTTCCAAAATGTGTGCTTACTGAACCTACATTTGCACTTGTTACATATGCTAAAGAGAAAATAACTGTAAACGGGTGCTTAAAAGCAACTATTATGCATGATGGTCATTCTACTGTGGGGACTTTAGTTGTGGTTGAGTCAGGTGCAGCTTTACTTGGCTTA